ACTACTACAACACCACAACAGAATTCGGAAACAAACATTTGTTAAAAAAGTTTAAAGAGACAGATGTGTTTTGAAGACCATAAACACCCGGTGTAAATTACAAGCTCATAATAATGAAAAATGATGAATTTAAAGGGACAATAACACTATTGCTGGCTTGACAGCTCCAGAAAATAAAAAAAACAGCCTTGTTCTAAGTACTAGATTTGTTAGTGTCCTACCTGTTGTGTAAATTATCCATTAAATCCTATTTTACTTGTCCAGAGGGTTCAAAAATATTTTTAAATCCAAGTCACATTTGAAAAGCTTTACGTCAGGCTTTTCAAATCATTTAGTTGAATTTTTCCAATTTTTTTAAATTAGGTGTGTTAAGATGAAATTTCTATCATCAATTAATTGGAATATTGTAAAATAGTACAATTTGTTGACCAGAATAAAGATTGGGACATATTATTCAGTTACAACAAGAGTGGTATTGAGCCTTTAATAATAATCAGTTTTAGTAACGCCGTATGAAGACAAAAATGAAATGAAATGGGGGTTTAACGTCATACTGTTCTGTTCCTACTGGGCTAGGGGGGTTGGATGGCTGAATGGTTAGCGTGCGCGCGCTGTATCATAAAGTCTGTCATTGAGTCGACTGGCGTGGTTTCGAATCCCCGGTTGTACGTGACAAGGACAAGGAGGTTCAACCTCGTGGGTTTTCTCCGGGTCCTCCGGTTTTCTCCCACTGCTAAAGACCCCTATGCGCAAGCGAATTATTGAAATAAAATTAAACCATATGTTAGTCCCGAAATGACTTAGTTTGTGTCGAGTGGACGTTAAACCCCATTTCTCTCTCTCTCTCTTCCCTACTGGGCTAGTCGAAGATTCGGTTAAGGGGAGACAAGCACTGTTTCAAAGATCCGAGCAGGGTGAAGACCGATATTCAACAAGCATTTCATCCTTTGTCGATAATGTAAAATATTGATCAAAATCGTATCAAAAATGTATATTTTATTCCATTTTAACTCTTCTAGAAAAAAAACTCGACACATCTTAGTAAATATATATTGGAGAATAACTGTAAATGGCTCGTAGTAGTCCGGGCCACGTGGTATACCCCCTTTATGGAGGTGCGCGGTCCTCCGGGCGCCATAATGTTATTTTTGAAATCTGGCTTAAAATGGTGCGTGATATTGTAAGTGAACCTTTCTAGAGACAGCTTTGCTTATACCAATTCTACAAATACGACGTAAATTCAAGACTAAACGTACGGGTTCCAAATCTACGTAAGAACATTATAACGTCGTTAGAGAACCCAGAGCCAAACATACTCAAAGCTAGGCTCATTGTCTCTCTATCCCATTCTGAACACCAGAGACACGCTAGCTGTGGAGGACAAAAAGCTTGATACCATTTAGTTTTCGATCATCAGTTATGTATGAGCCCATCCCTGACTACGATTTCAACATTTTAAGAGAGAGGGGGAGAAATGGGGTTTAACGTCCACTCGACACAAACTAGGTCATTTCGGGACCAACCCACAAGGTTGGACAGGCGACCCTACTCCTTGTCACGTACAATCGGGGATTCGAAACCACGCCAGCTGACTCAATTACAGGCCTTTTGATACAGCGCGCACATGCTAACAATTCGGCCACCCAACCCCCCTTCAACATTTAAAAGCCATACGTATTTCATATAGTACTATTAAAGGGGAATTATGAGAGCCCAGATAAAGAGTTGACAGTTCTTGCTATAATAGTTAAAAAATAGATAACGCAAAGAAAATATGCTGAAAATTTCAGCCAAATTGCTCCACTATGAACCGAGATATTAACATTGAATTTTAGTCTTAGTCTCGATCATCATTACTAAAGTCGGTAAGATAAAAAAAAGCCTCGAGAGAGAGAGAGAGAGAGAGAGAGAGAGAGAGAGAGAGAGAGTCATTTCGAGACTAACATATGGTTCAATTATATTTCAATAATTCACATGCGCGGAGGAGTCTTTGGTAATGGGAGGAAACCTGGAGGACCCGGAGAAAAACCCACGTTGTTGGACAGGCGACCCTACTAGTTGTCAAGTACAACTCGGAAATCAAAACCAGGCCAGTTGAATCAATGACAGACCTTATGCTACAATTAACGCGCGCTAACCATTCGGCCATCCAACCCCCCTCCCAACATGATGCAAGACATTGGGCTAATAATCTGCACTCATCATTGACTTCAATGTTAAAACCATGCTATTTTTATGTCTATATGCAATGAAAATAAATGGGGTCTGACGTCCTACTGTTCTGCACCAACTGGGCTAATAAAGACGGGCGTGCGCCATATACAGTGTGCAATGAAAGAAATTTTGCCCTGGCAGCGGCCCTCCGTCCTGCATTACTAACAATTAGAGGAAACCATGCCAGAAAATCTCGAACTTTCTCGGCCAATACTGGGAGAGAACCCGCGATCCCCAGGCTAGCTAGCCAGCGTCTTAACAACTTATCCACCACTCGGCAAACCTCAGCAGATTCCTGTGCCCTACATCTTTAGAGTAACGGAATCTGCCGAGGTTTGCCGAGTGCTTCCAATCATATTGATCTTTATAACCACTATAGCCCAACATATCATTATCTACATAGAAAAATTACATCTCGTAATTACAGGTCTTGAACAAACAATACTTTCCTTGACTCCAGGGTACCTAAATGCAAGGAGGATGCATGCAGGACATTACACAATTTAATGTAGTCTTCAATTATGTCAGGTAATTAAAGAGGCCATCCCGATTTAACAGAGTCTGAGAAATAAAAATCTGTGTACCTATGAAATTTAAGCGCCATAATATAGAGGAATGGTGTATTTACCTTGTGGCAAAACTTTAATCTCAAAATATTGAACAGCTTGGATGTGAACATAAGATTTCAAGTCAATTTTTTCGTTGGGTGACCTGATAATCTATTGCCGTTCCTATAGAGATCTATACAGTGCATAAGCATAACCCACCTACACGTTATTTTTATATAATAAAAAGTCTGGTTTTATCCAGACACCGTATAACACAGCTTGGGACACCGGTCTCCATTTCCAGATGACGACTGATGGGTTTAAGTTGTTTGAAAACGTATCACGTATATTGAGTTAGTAGCTCAGCCCTAAAGTAGGGTATTTTGAGGGTATTAAACGCAAAATTAAGGAGTTTTATTCTCCAAAATATAATCGAGATTCGTCCTTTAAGATGTATATATCAACCCATCAATCATATATCCAATAACTTTATTTATTCTTTGTTAATAAATACACTATAAATACATAACATAAAAAAGATGGCCACCTCTTTCTATAAATATTAACATAAAATCACAAAAACATTTGTTTGATATAGATGAAATTATGAAATCAGCACATCGATGACGATATAGATAGACCTACATAACAACTGTAAAAATGCAATGTAAATGGAGTGATTAATGTTAGAATTTCAAACTGACAAAAATAAAACTGCATGTATGTGTTAAGTGAAAACATGAAAAGTTTTTAGCGCATGCCAACAAATCTGTGGTTTCCAAAGAATATTGCAACAAAAACAGAAATCAGTTGTTTTTTTTAAAGCTTTTAAAGAAACAGATTATGTGTCTTGAAGACCATAAACTTTGATCATTACAGTATAAGATAATATGTATTATTATTATATATGTTATGGTAGTTCAAATTGTATTAGAAATCATTCAAAAATCATTATAATCATATTTATATATTTTTGTAACATATATTAATAAATGGCTATTTTCAATTCATTCACTGTGTATTATATGTGCTTTGATCAAACTGAGCAAGATACTGTATTGGCATAAACACTCTGTTTATATAAAACGTAATAATTATCATAAATAATAATTTTAAAAAAGTGAATAATTTTATGAAAATTAAATGATGAAAAAACTACGAAAAGAAGTATAATTATCCAATCTGATTAAAATACAGATCTATATTTTGTTTTGTTTTTTTATACTTTCGATGGCCTACACTACATAAAGATCTGACCAGTTGTTTTGGGAGGTCGTGTCAGAGGTTATACGAGCAGCTTTTGACCCAATCAGTATTGATGTTTCTAGTGGATTACCCCCATTCCGTGCACTTAATGCCAAAAGCACGCAGTAACAGACCATTTCATTTGGCTAATCCCTCGCATCATCCAGAACCAGATATATAACAACTCTTCCAGATCCTAGTGTAGTTAAGACAAGTAAAATGAAATTTTGAACTATAAAAAAGGAAACGAAATAGGGGACTGTGTTCTAATCAGATTGATAATTATCAGTAGTTTCTCGTGACATTCCTAAATTTGATCTTAATGCAATCTTCTGGTTCGCTTAATCCACGAATACTAGAATATGTACTTTAATATTTAATTAAACATGCATTATGCAACAGCTAAATCTGCCTATTGCAGGTCTTTCTTTAGGCCTGAAATGTTATTTAAATTATTAATTAGACATTGATTAACCTATCCAGACTATAATTAACTCTCGATGCCATTGGATGGCTTCGATATTTAGTAGACTTGAATATGTTGTGTGGTTGATGAAATAACCGTAAAACTAGATAATCAAGACTATGTTTATTATCGTAACAACAGTAGTAATGACAATTGAGGCTAGACAATAATTGTATCGCAGATTGCTTGGCTCAGTGCGAAGTAATTTGACTGAAATTTTCAGCATATTCTCTTATCATTATTTATTTTTTTTAACTATTGTAGCTAATCTTACCTAATGCCTCTTTAAATAATGACCAGAAGCTTTAACTCAACTTCGATAGGAGAGAGATTATTATAAAGGTTTACATCAGATAAACTTTAAAGGCACAAAGCGTCTTCGATTTGAGTTTGACCCAGACCACACCCCGAGTTCAGAAAGCATTTTCAGATTTAAGTTAAGAATATACTCAATATTGCTTGCCTTATTTTTATAAGATTTTGTTGTTTTAATGAATCAAATACATCAAAAAGACCCTATGCGCAAAGTTTGTGGATCAAAGATATTTCTCATAAACAGTGTTTGAAAGTTGAGTAAATTCTTAAGTCTGAGAATGCTATGTGAACTTGGGGCAAGATATATTCTACACAATTAAATTTTCATTTAAAAAAATATTAAATAGGTTTGTATATTAGTTTTAGTTTTGTTTTTAGTTTCAACCGTTGACTGATGGATGGAATACGAAATTAGTTAAAATATCAGCATTTACTTTATCTCAGGACCTAAAATTTTAAAGAGGGAAGAACATTAACAAACCAACTCATTAAATTTTCGCCAAATAGAGGAGGTCTAGTCATTTTAATCAATTGTGTTCGATAACTTTAACAGACAGGAATGTTATATTGTAAAAAATATCACATATCGTTTTCTCACGAACACAGTTTATACATAATGATTGCGCCCTCCACACAAGGATCAAGTTCATCTCCATAGTCACATACGCACGATTTTGTACAGACTCTAAATGCTTTATGAAATAAGAACTGGATTTTTTTAAAATCCTCAATTCGAGTTTCCTGTTAAAAAGACTGACGATTTTCCATGAAAGCAGGGTGAGAATTTATCTTCGATGACCATTACCCGTTGGACGGAGTTGTTCCATCCGATTCTGTAAGTCATCAATTCTGACATCTTTCAGGTGAACCAAGTGTTCCAGTCGTTTTATCTTAGCTTGTAAAATCTACAAATTATAAAATAGCACAATAAAGATATGGAACAAGAGAGAGAGATGGGGTTTAACCTCCACTCGAGGGACTAACACATGGTTCAATTTTATTTCAATAATTTGCTTGCGCGTAGGGGTCTTTAGCAGTGGGAGAAAACCGGAGGACCCGGAGAAAACCCACGAGGTTGGACAGGCGACCCTACTCCTCGTCACGTACAACCAGGGATTCGAAACCAGTTGACTCAATGACAGGCGTTATGATACAGCGTGCGCATGCTAACCATTCGGCCATCCAACCCCCCAGAGACAGAGAGAGAGAGAGAGAGAGAGTTGAATGTCCACTCACACAAACTAGGTCATTTCGGGACTAACATATGGTGCAATTTTATATCAATAATTTGCTCGGGTGTAGGGGTCTTTAGAAGTGGGAGGAAACCAGAGGACCCCGAGAAAACCATAAGGTTGGATATGGAACAAACAAACTATGTTTCATCATCCATTATAGAACACTGATTCCTTGGTTTGAATGTTATCTGGAGGTGACACATCAATGTGCTTGGGGTGCCACGGTGGCAAAGTGGGTAAGATGCTGGTTCGCTAGCCTCGTATTCGATCCCTGCATTGGCGTGTTCGAATGGGACGAATGCTCCAACTGGGCTAATGAAGATGGGCATACGCCATACAGTGTGCGATGAGGGAAATGTTGCCTGGGCAACGGTACTAAGGCCTACTCTTATATCGAATTCCAACTGCCAAGGGATCTTTTATTTGAACACCAATGTATACTAGACAGTATACTAGATCGACTAGACAGCTGTCCTTTTCAGACCATCTGTCCTGCACCCCTGACAAGGGGAAACCACCCCAGATATTGCTCTATATAAAAACCTTACTGATATAGCTGAATAAAGTCTCACTGAATTAAAACATATATTCACACACCTGAATAGTTTCCTCTTTCGCTAAATTCTCCTGTTCTTTTTCTTCCAGTAAAATCCTTGGAATCATTTCATTGGAATTAAATGGCATTCGTTGATGTGAACTGTCAACAAAAATAAATTACAAATATATAAGGCCATTTCAACAAACATTCCGGTTGTTATTTTAATTGACATTTTGACATAATTAGGAGTGAATTTCTTGCGAATCTAATTTCAGATATCTTGACATGTGGTTAATTTCTAACAGCAATTAGGAGTGAATGTTTAACAGATCTAATTTCAGATCTAGACATATCTAGGAGTGAATGTCTAACAGATCTAATTTCAGATCTAGACATTAATAGGAGTGAATGTCTAACAGATCTAATTTCAGATCTAGACATATCTAGGAGTGAATTTCTGACTGATCTAATTTCAGATCTAGACATATCTAGGAGTGAATTTCTGACTGATCTAATTTCAGATCTTGACATATCTAGGAGTGAATTTCTGAAATAACATGAAATGAAATGGGGTTTAACATCCTTCCTACTGTTCTGCTCTGACTGGGATAATGAAGATGAGCATACACCATACAGTGTGCTATGAGGGAAAATTTTGCCCATACAGTGGTGCTACAGCCTATTCTTATATCAAAATCCAACTGCCAAGGCCAAGGGATCTTTTACATGCACATCAACATGTACGCGGGACCTCAGGGGTTTTTTTTGTCCCTTCCAAATGACTAGACCACAAACGAGGGGGGAAACCACGCCGGAAAATCCTGATGAACTTTCTCGGCCAACACCGGGAGCGTGAGTGAACTTCTAACAAGAATGTATATAAGCCCCAGCTTGATTTCAGACCCAATAATTTTAAATTTTATCTTTATAATATCTAAATATTTATTGAATAAATAGTGTTAGAAACAAATTTTGTAACAAATCTAATATTAGATATACTACTGTGATCTACTGTCTTACTCACCCTTTATATTGCACGTTATTAACTGTACTTGATCCTTTTACTGGTTGACCATGACTAGTGGTAGATAGTCCCTGTCGTAAGGGTGTTAAATTACCAGTACCTGCAGTGAACATTTATAGTATTAATATTAAACAATTTACCTTGATTGAAACATATTTTAATTTTTGTTTTACAGATCATGTAAAACAGAGATGGTCAACCTCTGGCACATAGTTGGGATTGTGGGACGATTAGAAGTTGCACATCGTACCCCATTCATAATGTAGTAAGTCAGTAACCCTACTCATTTTTTCAGGGATTTTATTATTTTGTGCATCTTTTTAGCAAATGTTATCTTCTTTCATTTCCTTTTCAGATAAAAGAAATATGCACAATGAATCAAACTAGGAAAGATGGACTTTTGTTCTGTAATAGTCACAAAACAGTTCAATACGCTGCATGCTACAGGTTCTTGCCAGTTTTCTTTAAGAAATGGTGGATGGATGACCGAATGGTTAGCATGTACGCGCTGTATCATACGGTTTGACATTGAGTCAATTGCTGTGGTTTCATTTCCTCGGTTGCACGTGACAAGGTGTAGGGTTGTGGTTTTTCTCTGGTTTCTCCAGTTTCTTCACACTGCTAAAGACTCCTATGCGCAAGCGAATTTTTGAAATAAAATTGAACCATATGTTAGTCCCGAAACGACCTAGTGGACAGTTAACCCCATTTCTCTCTCTCTCTCTCTCTCTTTGGTACAATCTTGTTCTTTGTAAAGATTTTGTAGATGAGGGTATGGCGCAAGGCTTGCCTCATCCACAACACCTGTTTTAAATAAACCAATAATATATTACCTGCTATATTTTGATCAGCTTCTGGTTTATCATTCATTATAGGGGGAGCCATGAGTTCGTGTTTCGGTTGTTGTAAGGACCATAATGCTTTAGATATCTTGACTCGTAACATAAGTAAAACTTTTTCAATGACTCCTGCTTTACACATCGAAACACTACGAATAACATCTTCTGATAACTGGAAATTCAATTTACTAAAAACTTTTCTGAAGTAAAAAATTCAAAATATTTAAAAATAGAACAACATATACTGTAAACAAAATTCATCATCTTTCTTATAATACAAAATTTGTAAATTATCAATTTTGTTATTAAGAAAACCGATATTGGAGAGAGAGAGAGAAATGGGGTTTAACGTCCACTCGGCACAAACTGGGTCATTTCGGGACTAACACATGGTTCAACTTTATTTCAATAATTCACTTGTGCATAGGGGGCTTTAGCAGTGGGAGGAAACCTGAGGACCCGGAGAAAACCAACGAGGTTGGACAGGTGACCCTACTGCTTGTCATGTACAAACGGGAAATCGAAACCACGCCAGTTGACTCAATGACAAACCGTATGATACAGCGCGCACATGCTAACCATTCAGTCATCCAACCCCCCACCGATATTGGAAAAACTGAGAAATCTAAAAGGACAAGAAGTACAAACTATTCTGCTGGATACTGGATAGTCAAGATAGGTCTAACTAGTATCCAGGGCTGTCTGTAATTTTTCACAGTTGATTAGCAGCACTGCTAATCAAAAAGTCCAATTTCGCCAAATTTGATTAGCAAATTTAAAAATTGATTAGCAGTTTTTCAGTTTCAATGTAAAACACCTAAATAACAAGATATTACTTTAGCTCATAACAAATATGATTAGATTCCATTCTGACTATTCTTAGATTTTTTAGCACTGCCACAAGTACTTGTGACAGTTTGTGAATGTGATGTAGAAATTTAGTTAGGTCTTATGTCTGAAGCCAATTCTTGACAGTGACTTCCGAAGCCCCACTCATTTTAATTGTTATTTTTTTGTTACGTAAGAAATCTTCGTTAGAAAACAATTTCGTCTGCTTTTTATCGTGTATTACTATTTTTCTTCAATCGGACACACCTCGATTAACTAGACACACACGATATAAACAATAATGTTTTACGGGAATTTTTACTTTGATTTATCATTTTACAATTTGTTAACATGTATTTATTTTTTTATATTTTATTTACAATACGTGGGGGATACATTGGATTTATTTCTTTCAAAATGAATATGATATAATTACTTGATGTCTCGCAACGTGAGTGGTACTACTTGATTCCCTATTTCCGGTTTAATAGTCCCTATTCATAGAGTTATGTGTTATATAGTATTGTGTCTGGTAGTTCGAGAAGAAAATGTCACACGGAGAATTCAGTTTTGTTTATAAAATTTTATTCAACATTTTATACACGTTGAAAGTGTTGAGTAAGCCTCCTAGTCTTCAAAATGTGGATTATTCTTGTGTCAATATCCAAAATGACAGGAATATTGATGATTCGCAGTAACTGCGAATCAAAAACGTTAGATTTTAATTTTTGGTTAGCAACGGACAAAATATGTATCGCAAATTGCGCTGCGATACTGGTTGTCGGCAGCCCTGCTAGTATCATAGTGGATAGTCAATATAACTAGTATCCTGATGGATCAGCCAACAGAATTCATTATCCGATGCAACACGAATCTTGGTGAGAGTGTTAATGCCTCTTTAAATAGTCTGAATGGTAACTCGCTACTACATGATGAAATCAAATGTAAGGTACCAGTAATACTATGAACATTCTAGATAAAAAAAGCTTATTAAAGTTACTGATTATTTTTTTTGTTTTTCTGAGACAATCTAGGCTAAAAAGTACCCAAATCGACTATTTAAGATTTAAGTAGGAAAACAACAACCAAATATTAACAATAATATCCCAGCTTGAATTCAATTGAATTAAAATGAAATCCATCAAAAGAGCTTAGCAAAAATAAATGGTGAGACTGGCTTGTGTTGACCATGTCCTATGTATTGTCCGTATGTGGATGTCAAAGGTTCAGGAATTTGTAATTCATCATGGTGACTTTCCTTTTTGAGACTGAACTTTTACAATATTTTAGTTTGTAAGGGATTTAAAATCCCTAAAATAAACAGAGATAGAGATATGGGGATTAACAACCACTCGACACAAACTAGGTCGTTTTGGGTTTAACATACATGTATGGTTCAATTTTATTTCTAAAATTCACTTGCACATAGAGGGGTCTTTATAGAAGTGGGAGGAAACCGGACAGGTTAGCCTACTCCTTGTCATATACAAGCGGGGAATCGAAACCGCACCTCTTGACCATCTGATCCAGCGTGCACGCTGTTAACCATTTGACCATCCAAACCCCCTCCCCACAGTAAGGATGAGAGAGTTTAAGATACCATACCTATTAAGAAGAGACCAATTCTGTATTTTCTGTTGCGTAGAATTAGCAGGAGCATAATTATGAAGTTCAACAAATTTTGGTATGGAATGTTTCACAACTTCAGCTACAAGAACTAAATAAACAAAATAGGAGACTACAGATAATTAAAATCAAAATAACAAAATTGTTTAGGATTAAATGTCGTCTGGATTAGGCGACATGTCAATGTGTCTTGGTTAAACTGCGGCCATTCTCTTTTCATTTGTCTGGTGAACCTATCATTCTCTTTGTCATTCATCTGAGGATTTTATTCCCATTCGTCCAGTAAACCTTTGGCTCTGTCATTCTTTATGTCTTTGTGATATTACTTTTAAAAAATCTGTCTGTCTTAACTCAGTTGTGGATTGAAAATGATCAGGGTCCCTGTGCAAAAGGGAAATTTTAAAACCCCTCATACAATCCTATTCAAAAGCTCATTCCACAAACATAGCCAGGACCCATTACATAGTCTTTTTCGTAGAATTAAACAATTCCATATAAAATCATTTCTTACAGGAAAATACCATTAGACCTATATATAATACAGTACCATAAATTTCTGTTTTTCGATCGCTTGATCCACAAAGTCAATTTAGAAACATAGAAACATAAAGCTTCTGGTCTGGCTATTGTTTATAAAAAATACATCAGTGAAATAATTATAAAGAGGCAAAATTAAGGGACAAGTTATTACTATTAGAGCCTATTTTAAAGAAATTTCTTTTGTCATTCGATTTTCATTCATCAACCACTTATCAAATCAGGAAGTTAATCAATACAAGTTACAACAGATTTAGCCTACCACTGATACAAAAATTGACACTTCCGTTTATATAATACTGTACAGTTTTCAGAGAACTTAACTTTTTGATATTAAAATTATTGAAATTGAACTGAAGACAATGAAGTAGGCTACTTGAGCTGCCACTGCTGTACCTGTGTGATCCACTTAGTTTTGTTTGTTGATCATTATTATAGATCTGCACAATGCATTTGACGTAGGATGATATTTAAAGTAGCCAAGTCTCTAACTCAATATCATCCAAAATCTTCGACATTAAAAACACGAATTATTTGTCAATTTAAACAACATTATTGGTGTTGTGACCTTACGGGGAAAAGATGGGCTTCTGATATCCAATAATTAAGACAAAATAACCATTTTACCGTTGGTACACGACTCGTGTACCACGGTGCATGTCAGTGCCATTTTTAACAAGGGACTCGTAGGAAGAGGCTAGATATATTCCACAAGTCATGTCAATCGGTGACGCCATATTCTTATCTGCGGAGAGTATGCGCAATAAATTCTATCGGTATAGAATGGAATAACTTATTAACTAGAATAGAGATTGCCATTCGATTGAGACTTCTGGCGTATTTTGCCGAACATAACTGATTAGAAATTGCAATAAAAACAGAAACGATTGAATGTAAATCAGTTTATACATTCACATCACATTACATTACAATTTACATTATTATTATTAGGCCCATTTGTTTGTGTCAATTTCTAGATCCAAAATATTAGCGATTTAGCTCCTTTAATTATTTATTGTTCACACAAAGTCAAAAAGGTGCTCAAAGGGAATAAATCAAAATCAGTCTACCTCCATCAGAAAAATCTCTAGCAACATTTCTTTTCGGCCTCGTCAATGGAATTCCATCGATCCAGCTGTACAATTCCTCGAGTTCGTTGTCTTGAAATTCATCCATATCTTCCACATTTTTAGGAGGAGAACCCACACCCTGACCCCTTACGGAATCCATCACTAAGCGTTTTATATGTATTACAGTTAAAAATTAGAATCTTTACAGGGAATTAAATACGGATGGATTTATCTATAATAAATTAACAACATTCTGGAGTTTGTTTACATGGTTTCCGTCGAAACGAAAGTCCCACAATTCCCTGAACAGCACTTTGTCTTCCTGTATAAAAAAAAAACCCAAGGCGTCAGTCTTACACGTTAAAAAAAGGAAATGACAGGATTAATAAATCGAACCTTAATTAAACATTTTTATCATTTAACAGTAACTCAATGAGCAACTTTCCTCATTTTCTGTTAAAACAATGGGGTGGGCGGGGGGAAACAACGCAAGCTCACGGAAAGCGGAACAAGGGAGGCAACTCCATTTAATAACCACATATTTCTTGAGGGTACAGACCACCATTGTCTGATCTCAACTCTTTACAAAATTCTCCTTTGCCTGAACGCATTCTTAATTAAGAAGCAACACGTGACAATGTCTTACCCCTAGTTCAAAGCTTTGATGAAGTTGATAATGGAAAAATTTGTAACTCCGCATTGGTAAACATTATCTTTCTAATAATGCAAAATGATGATTAACATTTTCTAGGTATATCATTTGGACATATATAAAAAGAATAAACAAAATCAATGCTACTCCTTTCATTTATACTTTCTGTTTGCAAACCCTCTTCTTCATTAGGAACATGGTACCGCTGTGGCTCAGTGAGATAGACACTGGGTTCGCTCCAGACGTTGGCCGAGAAAGTTCTTGTTCTCTAGGAATTTCCATTTTGGTTTCCTCTTGTCAGTGGTGCAAGACGGAGAGCCTGGCAAGGATAATGTCTAGTCGTTCGGTGGCGACAAAAAAATGATTTTCTGTGTACACATTCACATGCACGTAAAAGAACCCTTGACAGTTGAAATTTGAAATAAGAGTAGGACATTAAACCCCATTTCATTTCAGTTAGAAGAAAATGTCATCAAAATGCCATGCAAAAGGTGAATAAGGGGAGAGAGAAAATGGCTACAAACTGCTAGTTGAATTGTCACACTATACGTATCTAACAACCAGTGATTTTTTTCCATATAAAGGCGGGGAGTTGGATGGCCGAATGGGCGTGCATGCTGTATCATAAACTCTGTCATTAAGTCAACTGTCATGGTTTTGATTCCCCGGTTGTACGTGGCAAGGAGTAGGGGTCCAACCTTGTGGGTTTTCTCTGGGTCCTCTGCTTTCCTCCCACTGCTAAAAACCCCTATGCACAAGCGAATTGTTGAAATAAAATTGAACCATGTGTTAGTCCTGAAATGACCTAGTTTGTGTCGAGTGGACGTTAACCTCCAACTCTCTCTCTCTCCATATAAATGGTTTATAATCCACTGGACACAAACTAGGTCATTTTGGGACTAACATATGGGTCTTTAGCAGTGGGGGGGAAATCGGAGGACCCGGGAAAAGAAAACCCACAAGGTTGGATAGGCGACCCTACTCTTTGTCACATACAAGCAGGGAATTGAAACCACATCATAGACCTTGAGATCCAATGCGCACACGTTAACCATTCAGCCACCCAAACCCTTTTTTCCACTACGATTGTCTTGACAAAAATAATGGGAGCTATTTAAAATCACAGCCATCGATATACAATAATACAAAATATTTATTTTATTTTTTAAATAAAATGTGTATCACAAAAAAGTGTTTAAAATGATATTATAATAAAAATAAATAATCCAGATTATTTCTAAATTGACATTATAATAAAAATAAATATTCCCGAATTTTCTTTATATAACTGATATTACAATAAAAATAAATAGTCTGCTTTATCATAATTGAGCAAAATTTATTGATAACTAACTAATCATAAAATTTAACATTTCATAATTTATAAAATTAATTAAATTATATCCATGAATCCATCAACTATAAATTTTATTGTTATTTCTATTATAGTCACCGATTGTCATTTGCATTTTCTGGACCATATCTACTTTTTTTACTGCTTATCATGCCTTAATCGGATTCAATTGGATTAAAAATAAGAGAGAGAGAGAAATGGGGTTTAACATCCTCTCGACACAAATAGGTCATTTCGGTACTAACATATGGTTCAATTTTATTTTCATAATTCGCATGCGCATAGGAGTCTTTAGCAGTGGGAGAAAACCGGAGGACTCGGAGAAAACCCACGAGGTTGACTCAATGACAGACTTTATGATACAGCGCACACGTGCTAACCATTCAGCCATCCAACCCCCCATTCAAAATAAGAGGCCCATCAAAGATTTCAGAGAAAATTATTGGTGGCACTGGTTAGTTTTGACTATATCCTATATATTTTTTGTAGCGGCTGCCAAATGATGACAAATTTTCAATTTACATCATCTTTATAAATAGTGAATGTAATTAAACCATTTTTTGACTGATCTTAATTTAAGAGATCCAACTTTCACAAGATTGTTTGGGGTCACGGTGGCTAAGTGGGTAAGATGCTGGCTAGCTAGTCTGGAGGTCAGGTGTTCGATCCCTGCATTGGCCGAGAAAGTTCATCCAGATTTTCCGGCGTGGTTCCCCCTTGTCAGTGATGCAGGACTGAGTGCCTGACAAGGACAGCTGTCTAGTCGTTCGGATGGTACGGAAAACTGAGGTCCTGTGTACACATTGGCATGCACCTAAAAGATCCCTTGACAGTTGGAATTCGATAAGAGTAGGCCGTAGTGCCGCTGTCCGGGAAAAATTTCCCTCATAGCACACTGTATGGCGTATGCCCATCATCATTAGCCCAATTCGGAGCAGAACAGTAGGACGTTAAACCCGTTAAACCCCATTTCATTTCATTTCACAAGACTAGTTTACAAGGGATTAACAATTTCTCACATGACAATCAGAGACTTTAAGTACCTGGTTATAACAGGTGCGTGTTATATATATTACCACATTCGTATTCAAATTTTTATATAATAACAATGTGACCTTTCAGTATGAATGTTCAATCATATTTCAAATTTGAAATAAATAAAATATATATTCTATTGTCGTATGGAAGGCGTGGTTATAAAAAAACATTAATACATTACAATACATATATAATAATAATGTGTCCTTTCGATATGAAAGGAGGTCAGAATATAATTTTCTCTTGAAGGCAAGTGAAAGGCTCCATCATTTTATCATTTAATGTTTGAAAAAAAAAAAAAAAAAAAAAAATCAGCTAATATATATAGATTTTTTTGTCAAATGGAAGGTGTGATTATAAAAAAGTTAATACAATACATTAGTTAATATATGAATATTTTTAAGAAATAACGGCTACTGTAAGCAATTAGACAGATCTAATGAAATTACTATCTTTTGATATAGAGTAATTATCATTTAATGATTTAAAATAACTGTTCCCTAATAGCATGTACTTTAATATATCTAAACAGCCTAGTTTAATACTGTGTTTAAATAACTGTTCCCTACATAATAACATGTACATAAATATATCTAAACAGCCTTACTTACTGTGTTTAGATGATTGATAACTGTTCTCTACATAATAGCATGTACTTTAATATATCTAAACAGCCTAGCTTAATATTGTGTTTAAATGACTGACTAGTAGCTCTAGAGGACTGTTTCCTATTTCATTTATAATTGCCATATAATTCTATTTTCCCACCTATTCCAAAGCATTGAGTTTTAACATTTATTTCAAGAAAGTATTCCTTAGCATATAATTCTATTTTCCCCAACTATTCCAAGAAAATTTAATTTAAGTCTTATCATATAATTCTATTTTCTCTAATTATTCCAAGAAAATTTAATTTAAGTCTTATCATATAATTCTATTTTCCCCAATTATTCCAAGAAAATTTAATTCAAGTCTTATATTAGCATATAATTGTATTTACCCCACTTTTTCCAAGAAAATCTAATTAAGTCTTAGTATATAAATAATTATATTTTCCCATATCACATAATTAACAATGATGGATAGAATATAATATACATTTTCTTTGATTGGCATTTAGTAATTGAACATATTAACACAAGGTACAATTTTCTGGATACACAATTATCATTTGCTTGATAAAGATGAGAGTATCCTCGTCGAAACGTCGCTTAGTATTAAACACAGTAATTGTGTATCCATTAAATTGTACCTTGTGTTAATAATATACATTATCGTATAAAAACTTAAATTGACAAAACAAATGAACTATCTATTAACATATTACAACATTCTAAATAAAAAGAGGTGTATTGACGAACTATAATCAGTACTTAAACATACATTACGTAAGAGCTAAATCTTTATTTTGGCTTCAAAGGTTATATAAATTATTATTTAGACATTTATTAACATGACAAGCCTATAATCAACTCTCTAGATCATTAAATGGCCGAGATTTAAATGGATTTGAACACTCGCGAGATTTTAAAGATTTAATAGTAAAATGGATAATCAAGACTAAGGTAATAAATGATCTAGTATCACCCAGAATAAAGTAATTTGAATGAAATTATCAATATATTCATTTTTCATTTTCATCATTTATTATTGATAGCAAGAACATCCAGCTCTTTATCTAAATCTTACATAATGCATTTTTAATATAACTATTATAGCAAGAACATCCAGTTCTTTATCTAAATCTTACATAATGCATCTTTAAATTACCTTTACCACATTTTCTCCTTCAGAGTTTAAACACTGTTTAGAGGAGAGAGAGAGAGAGAGAGAGAGAAAGAGAGAGAGAGAGAGAAATGGGGTTTAACCTCCATTCAACACAAACTAGGTCATTTTAGGACTAACACATGGTTCAGTTTTATTTCAATAATTCGCTTGCGCGTAGGGGTCTTTAGCAGTGGGAGGAAACTGGAGGACCCAGAGAAAAACTACGAGGTTGGACAAGCGACCCTACTCCTTGTCACGTACAACCAGGGAATCGAAAATCCCGCCAGTTGACTCAATGACAGACCTTATGATACAGCGTGCACGTACTAATCATTCGGCCATCCAACCCCCTTTCTCCCTCTGAGTTTAAACACTGTTTAGGCCAGTAATAATTAACATAAGGAGAACATGTGGTAAGGGAATATCATCTTTTTTTATTTTATTAATTGATACATTTAATTAATCTTCTAAAATAGTGTTTTAATTGCATACTTATCAGATAACATAAAATAAAATATTATGATGAATAACAAAATTTTAATCTATTCTATAACATATTTCACGATATCTCAATTATATCTTCCATTAATTTATTCTATAATATATATCAAGAAATTAATATATTTTCAATAAAACAACAAATTATCCTGTCTCCGCCTGGTAGGAGCAGAACAGTAGGACATTAAACCCATTTCATTTTCCATAAATCATTCTATAAGATATCAATATATCTTCCAGAAATAATTATTTCTAATAAACACAGCCTATCAGTATATCAATCATTCTATAAGATATCGCTATATCTTCCATCAGGGCTCACACTGGATTTCATTATTTTTCCTCCAAAATGGATGATAATTTTTATATAAAGAAAATGTTCATATTTTTTTTCCTAATATTTTATCTGCCAAAAATGTGTGATAAAAAAGACAACATCTAATCATTTTATGTCTCAGTTAGGCTGATTATAAAACAATTACTGATACCGATATATACAATACAATATACAACAACTTTAAAAATCTGTCTTTACATAATAGATTTGCAAAGTTTGGATTTAATAAGATCAGATTTTATTTTTGGCGACTTTAGTCTATTTGAACAGCATACTGCACAATATATTTTCAGTATTTACACGTCAAATCTCATTCCAAGGATTGCCAATTTTCTATAAATTTTTGTGTTGCGTGCACAGCGGGCCTATTGTTATTTTCAGGTACCGTAAAGGTATCAGAATCTGAATCCTTGATAGAATGGTATAAATTTCAATTATATTTGTAACAGATGCTTAAAATTTTTCCCCTTCGTTAAGTTTTAGAGCATTTTGGCGACGGCAATATGATTAGATGTAAATGGCGAACTGTTTTCTCACTCAAAAATCGTCACTTTATTCGACTCATACTTACGTTTTCGACCAGTGGTGATAATATAATTTACAATAATGATATCCAATAGGCATGCTTGTATATTTTACATGCCATATATGAAGCCACTGTAAACGGAATTCAGCTATCAAAGTATTTAATTCTCTTCGAAAGGAACTGTCGGCCATTTTGATTACATGTATTACCTTTTTTTTTAAGATGAAACGAAACATCAAATAACCACCGCTTGGATTAATCATTAGGAGTAAATAATGACTTGACATAGACTTTATATATAAATATATCCTTGGCAATTATCAATCAACTAATCATTTATCCAAGACAACTGATTAGTATTACTCATTGACGCGATCCGGATTATCAGCCAGTTGATTAATTTATAGTATCCCGTCATGTGATTGATACCCAATAATGGTTAATCCAGGATAAAAACAATTAGAATTCTAAGATTTTTTTCCGTCAGCTCTCAAAAAGAATCGGCAAAATCAAATTTTAATCGCCACTTTCATATTTTTATCGCAAATTGCGACTTTGGCCACCGACAGTGTGAGCCCTGTCTTCCATAAATAATTATTTCTATTAAACATTGCCTATCAGTATATAAAATATCATGAAAGCAAATGAACCAACATCTTACCCTGAGTGAGCACAAGAATAATTGTAAATCAGTTTATGTTAAAACCCCGCTTTGAAATACAGCATCTTTAACCAGAATTTGGAGGAATGGAAAACATAACCATAATCTCCGTTAGGCATTGTTTAATAATAATAATGAATATCTATATTGCGCGCATTCCATCTAAACAGTTTGTATAGCTCTTCATCTTATAATGTATATACAACTAATACAAAATCTTTAACATAGGCGTACATGGGTGCGTCAAATTACCCAATAACTGCCCAATAACACCCAATAACTCCAAAATAACAACCAATAACTACAAAATGTTGACTCTGGAAACACAAAATAACAATTTAGTTGAATTTAAGAAGCCTCGCTGCTTTGTGTCCAAATCTGAGTTTCCCGCTCAATCGCCTGAAGGGAGACAACTCGTGTATGTGATTTTTGTTGACAAGAAATTAATAACACCCAATAACACCAAATTGTTGACTTTGGAAATACAAAATAACAATTTAGTTGAATTTAAGAAGCCTCGGTGTTTGTGCCCAAATCAGAGTTTCACGCTCACTCGCCTGAAGGGAGATAACTCTTGTATTTGATTTTTGTTGACAAGAAATTAATGTATGCTTTTGTTGCAATACGTTGTAATTATATACACTTTCTTCAACCATTGAATAACCCGAGCGGTATTCAATGGTCATTGAGTTATATCTATTTAATTAGACATTAATTAACTTATCCAGGCCACAATCAACTCTCGATGGCATCGCTAGCCTGCGATATTTACTGGATTATGATCCCATTTGCTGCTCGACTTCCATTCATAATTTTTAAAATCATGAAATGGATGATCGAGACTATGTTTTTTATCGTACAGACTTTAGTAATGATAATCGAGGCTAGGCCGAAATTTCAATTGCTTAATTCTTGGTTCATAGTGGATCAATTTGACTGAAATTTTTAGCAAATTGCCATTACATTATCTAGTTTTAAACTATTATAGTGAGAACTGCAAGCTCTTTATCTTATCTCCCATAATGTATCTTTAATTAGACATATCTAGGTAAAACTTCCCCTGACAGATTATTTCTTAATATTTTTTATGTGTCCTTGTCAGTTTACTCAATTCAACGTTTTATTTTGATTTAAATCAAGGTTTAACACATTAGTATGGAGTAGGGACCCTTCGGGATCATAACTTATCATTAATGCCATCTGGTGCGACAATTTATTTGAATTCCCAGACTTAAAATTTTTTTTAGTAGGATCATTGTCACTATTAGGATCAGTCTAAAAAAAGTTGAAATATTTTATTCATAAGATTTCTATTTGTGTGTCCTCTGAGATTAAAATATTTTGCTTTGTTAATTTTAAAAACTTAATTTTGAAAATAACATGTCTGATATAGGGAGTAAGTTAACAAATAAACTATATTTCTACTTTGGCATTACCAGGGCTCACACTGGCTTTTATTTTTTTTCTGCCCAAATGGATGATAATTTTTCTAAAAAAAAAATGTTATTTTTTTTTTTTTCGCCAATTGGAATAATGGAATATTATATTTGCCAAAATGTGTGTTAAAAAAGACAACATCCAACAAATCCTTGAATCAATGTCATTTAAATTTAAGATGAGCCAAAAAGAAAGAGAGAGGGAAATGGCGTTTAACGTCCACTCGACACAGACTAGGTCATTTCGGGACTAACATATGGTTTAATTTTTTATTTCAATAATTCACTTGCTCGTAGGGTTTTTTAGCAGAGGGAGGAAACTAGAGGAAAGGTGACCCTACTCCTCGTCACGTACAACCGGGGATTCTAAACCACGCAGTTGACTCAATGACAGGCCTTATGATACAGCGCTCACGTGCTAACCATTCAGCCATTTGCTACATATGAATCATCTTTCCATTTTTTACTTTGAAAGATTTCAGAGGGGAGACGCAAAAACTTATTAGCGCCATCTTCAAAATATATCCATTATATTTAATTTTATATCTCATAGCGATATTTTTCTACTTTTATTTTATATTCAAATATTAGCTAGACTGTTTATAAAGACTTCATAATCAGTCATTTTATACGATAGGCTTTGTCGTAAAAAAATAAGTCTCGAAGACCAAAGTTCTAACAACAATAAAACTATTCAAAATAAAACTGTGCTTTGTGATAAACCCTGACTTTATCGAAGTGTTGAAATACTACAATATATTGCAATACTTTTTGTCAAGTATATTGTAATTTGATTTTTTGGCTGCAATACACAGCCCTAATCTCAATGAATGACCGACCCTAAACTTTTGCTTAACAGTTGAGTAAACTCAGTTATAAAATATAAAATGAAGTGAAATGCGGTTCTCGTCCTTCTTTTCTGCTCCATCCAGGTTAATGAAGACAGACCAAAAAATAACTAAGTCCTTATTTACTAATAAATTATAAAATAACCAATTTTTGTAACCATGGTTTATGTATAAAATATAAAAGCTTCGAAATCTGACTATGCAATTATAATAATAAAGTATATCACAGCAGTAATCAATACACTACCCTGATGATCAGGCCTGGAAATAACGGTTTCACATGTACCTGACAAAATGTCAGGCGCTAATGGAATAGTACCTGACATTTTCAACTTCATATATCATATGAAATTTATTTTCTTTTCAAAAGTGGTGATGACTCTTTAACTGATTATATATTTTAAGGATTTTAAGTTTTCATGAATAAGTGTGAACTACAACCCAAATTTCTATTCTTATCCCCTTTTGATTCTGTACCAAGAACCCAAAGAGTTATCTTTCCTATCTCACTCGAGCCCTACTTAATCTGTCTTCCAAATCTTGTATTCGAACATCTTTTAATTGTAATAGATGTTCCAAGCGTTTGATTTTGGCATTCAGAATCTGAAATAAAACCGTATTATATTAAAGATATGTTTCATTTAGAGAGAGAGAGAGAGAGAGAGAGAGAGAGAGAGAGAGAGATGGGGTTTAATGTCCACTCGACACAAACTAGGTCATTTCGGGACTAACATATGGTTTAATTTTATTTCAATAATTCGCTTGCGCGTAGGAGTCATACCCCCCTCCCCCCCCCCCGCCGTTTCATTTAAATTCTGGAATAAAACAGAGCTGGATGGCAGGTGAAAGGAGTGTGGTTCACAGTAGTAACTGATACCTGGGTCATTCCTTGTCAAGTGAGTCAGGGGTGGGAAATCGCCCCCCCCCCCCTTGAAAAAATCTGGGAAATAAATATGTTATTGTACATGTAAAAACTAGAAACTGTGCAAAATTTGTGGTCTGTGGCTTGAAAATTGACTGAGATATGTCCATCTGAGTTTTATGAGTTACCCATAAGTTTTTGAAACAAGATAGATAAATGTCAATAATTTTTTTTGAGTTTCAGATATCTTGTTTTCACCTCTCTAGTGACGATATATTTTCTGTAGATTATGAATCTGCAATAAGATTACAGGTGAGTGGTAGGGTTCGCATGCTACCTGGCCATAAAAACCGGAAAAAAAATTGGTGTAACTGTATATTTTCTGCATTTTGTAGAGCTCAAGGAGCTAAACAGTAATAGATATAGATATAGAGCCAGAAGCCAGATTTTTTCGAGGGGATCGGTTTCCCAACTTTCTGAAAATTGACCCACATGACATGGAATGATCCACCAGGTAGGGCCTACACAGATAAATGTAGAATGTGATGTTTGTGAGAAGTCATTTAACCTAGTAGTCATCCTTTGAGAAACAAAAAACACAAAAAAACCCTCCCTCCCGCATTAGACATTTTCAAGAATTATTTGAGAACCAGAATATTTATTTTGTAAGGCCTCATTTAAGTGTTATATTTTTATATATTGCCCTTGAGAAAGAACCTATGATTAATAACCATGACACAAGTGTTCTACCTGGATCGTCTCCTCTTTAGCAATACATTCATCTTCTTGTTCATCCCATAATGAACGCGAGACATTGTCAGATACTGGAGCTTGCATTGGACGATTACCATAAGATCTGTTCAATGTGAAAAATAAAACAGACATAGAAACAATTCATATAAAATATAATGAAATAATAAGCCTACACTGGAATAATAATAGGTTTATTTAAACATACATTATGCAAGAGTTAAATCTGCCAATTGCAGGTCTTTCTTTAGACCTGAAATGTTATCTAAATCATTAATTAGACATTAACTTATCCAGACCATAATCAACTCTCGATGGCATCACTAGCCTGCGATATTTACTGGATTATGATCCCATTTGCTGCTCAATATTATGGAGTAACAGCTATGCTATAGTTTACAGATTGTTGAAGTTTCCTGTGGCTCTTTGGAAAAGTATTTATTACATGCCTTATAGCTTTGCATCAAGCACAAAATTTTCTACCTCTTATGACGGTTTAAACTCAATGTATTACTGTCGCAAGACTTTGGTTTTCAGACTTGGCTTTATTCGGTGTGTTGTCTATGTCTGAGGGATAGTTTGTTTAATGTTTGTTTGTTTATGTGTCCACAGATCCGGAGAAAACCCACAAGGTTGGACAGGCGACCCTACTCCTTGTCACATACAACCTGGGAATCAAAACCAAACCAGTTGACTCTATGACAGACCTTATGATTCAGCGCACACATGCTATCCATTCGCCTCCCCCCCCCCCCCCAACATCTAGAACTTGTAATATTGGGAAATTAAGATATTACTACTAGTACTATCCTATTAATAGTATTAAGTCAATACTTTAATATTCTAACAAGACAAGAACTTAATTTCAGTAATGTTTTGATTTTCTATCAATCTATTTCGGTACTTTTAGGCTAGCCTATATTGTTAATACTAGAACTTAATTTCAGTAAATGTTTTAATATTCTAGCAATCTGTTGAAATAGGCCTACTATTAACAGCCTATTTAAGAAATGATTTAATTTTCTAGCAATCTGTTTCCATACTACTAGTATTAACCTACACTGTTAATGCTTTTAATATTTTAGCAATATTTAAGTACTACTAGAACTTATAAATTTCATTAATTGTTTTAATTTTCTAGCAATCTGTTTCAATTCTACTAGTAATAATATTTCAGTAATAATACTATAAAGGAGCTAAATCGCTAATATTTAGGAGAGAGAGAAATGGGGTTTAACGTCCACTCGACACAAACTAGGTCATTTCGGGACTAACATATGGTTTAATTTTATTTCAATAATTTGCTTGCCACGTACAACCGGGGATTCGAAACCATGCCAGTTGACTCAATGACAGACTTTATGGTACAGCGCGCACGTGCTAACCATTCGGCCATCCAACCTCCCCTAATTATTGAGGAACTATAAATTAATACAAATGGGTTGCAATGCATATAATAAAGTAATATGAATGTATATAAACTGATCTACATTCAATTGTTTCTTTTTTTACTCTAATTTCAAATCAGTTGAGTTATGTTCGGCGAAATACGCCAGAAGTCTCAATCGAATGGCAATCTCTAGCGTCTGGTTATTTCAGTCTACACCAACAGTATTTATAGCTCATGAGCTCCAGATAAGAATATGATGTCACCGTTTGACATAACTTGTGAAATATGTCTAGCCTTGTTCTTCGAGTCCCTTGTTACAAATGGCGCTGAAACACATTATGGTACATGGTTTGTGTACCAATGGTAAAATGTTTATTTTGTCTTAAATATTGGATATCAGAATCCCATCTTTTCCCGGTAAGATCACAACATCAATGTTAATTATAATTGACAAATAATTCTTGTTTTCAATATCAAAGACTTTGGATGATATTGAGTTAAAGACTTTGCTACTTTAATTTTCTAGCAATATGTATATAACTACTACTACTAAAATTAAATTGTCTATATTTGATAAAATGTTTTAATTTTCTAGCAATCTGTTTCATAATAAAACTCACTGATGTGTTAACACCACTTTACTGTAAACCATCAAAAAATAAAATCAGCTGACATTCATTAAAATCTAAACAAACAGGCTTGTGGGATAACTAACATACCCACCATCATCAAAGTCATATGTTCTTGCTCTAAAATCATTGTCAACAGAGAGAGAGAGAGAGAGAGAGAGAGAGAGAGAGAGAGAGAAATGGGGTTTAACCACTCGACACAAACTAGGTCATTTCGGGACTAACACATGGTTCAATTTTATTTCAATAATTCGCTCGCGCCTCGGGGTCTTTAGCAGTGGGAGCAAACCGGAGGACCCGGAGAAAACCCACGAGGTTGGAAAGACGACCCTACTCCATTGTCAACAACTCCTGCAGGACAAGATTTGAAAAAACAAGAACCCCCTATTATGATAAATTTGTTCAGATTACCATCTAAATATCTTGAACATATCTCTTAGCAAACTGTTTGGACAAATGTCTTCTTTTTGTTACATCAACATCGAGAAAGGAGTATTTTTGAAGAAGATGAAGTTATGATAATACTTACACACGTGGTGTGTTACGTCTAGGTTGATTACGTGGAGAAATATAAGAATTTCTCGCGGCATCACCACCTCTGTTTGGTTTCACAGGTGAGGCTGAAATATGAAGTAAATATATGTATCATAGCTTTGTCAATCATGGTTCCAATATCATGGTTGGTTCCAATATAATGGTTGGTTCCAATATCATGGTTGGTTCTAATATCATGGTTCCAATATCATGGTTGGTTCCAATATAATGGTTGGTTCCAATATCATGGTTGGTTTTAATATCATGGTTCCAATATCACAGCTGGTTCCAATATCATGGTTAGTTCCAATATCATGGTTGGTTCCAAAATCATGGTTGGTTCCAATATCATGGTTCCAATATCAGGTTTGTTTCAATATATTGGTTCCAATATCTTTTAGTTGTTCATACTCCAGAATGAATGAATGAAATGAAATGGGTTTAACATCCTACTTTTCTGCACCAACCGGGCTACTGAAGAAAGGTGTATGTCACACAATGTGCTATGATGGAAAAATTATGAAACACTGTACACTGAACCTGGCTTTTGTGTCACAACCGGATGACCACACGCTATTCGTTGTCAGGCCCTCTGTTCTGCAGCACTGACAAGAGGATATTACACTGGAAAATTCGGGCAGACTAAGGAACAGCATTTTCTTAAGGAGAGAGCGAAATTGGGTTTAACGTCCACTTGACACTAGCCAGGTCATTTCGGGACTTACATATGGTTCAATTTTATTTCAATAATTCGTTTGCGTGTAGGGGTCTTTAGCAGTGCGAGGAAACCATGAGGACCCGGATAAAACCCACAAGGTTGGACAGGCGACCCTACTCCTTGTCACGTGCAACCAGGGAATTGAAATCACGCCAGGTGAATCAATGACAACCCTTATGATACAGCGTGTACATGCTAACCATTCAGTCATCCCGCCCCCCTTTCTTCAAGGAACTGGAGTAGTCAAGGTGTTCAGGTGTTAATGCAATGGAAAGTTTTAATCCTATTTCTCTACAGTGGTTGAATATTATATCAGAACACACACCCACTTTAAATGTGGTATTGATACCTAGTCATTTAAACATACATTATGCAAGAGCTATAAATCTGCCTATTGTAGGTCTTTCTTTAGGCCTGAAATGTTATCTAAATTATTAATTAGACATTAATTAACTTATCCAGACCATAATCAACTCTTGATGTCATCGCTAGCCTGCGATGTTTACTGGATTAGGATACCATTTGCTGCTCCACTTTCATTCTTGATTTAATCATGAAATGGATAACCAAGACTGTGTTTTTTTATCGTACCGACTTTAGTAATGATAATCGAGGCTAGGCCGAAAAACCTGTGATCAGAGTGGATCAATTTGACTGAAATTTTCAGCAAATTCCATTATCTAGTTTTTAACTATTATAGTGAGAACTGCCAGCTCTTTATCTTATCTCCCATAATGTATCTTTAAATATTTTATATAGAACAAAATATCTGTATCTTTCTGTTGCTAGAAGAAATTAAACTTACACACTTTAGTTGTTTTCATATCCAATGATCTTGCTTTAAGATATGGATAGGTTTTTCTTAGATTTCTTTTTCTGTCTAATTCTTTATCTATCTGTGTACGTAGTAACATCAGTACCTTCTCTACAACTTTAGCTCGACAGTTTGCCAAAGCTCTCATCACATCTTCAGATAAATCCATGTCTAATTTCCGCAGCACTCTTCTGCAAATTCAATATAAAACTTGAAGTTCAAAGACGATACTGCCCAGTTGGTGCAGAAAGATAGGACATCAACCTAATTTCATTTCAAATTGGATGACGCGGAGACATTCAACAAACCTTTGTATTACATACTTACACCATTTGCTTATGAGGAGTGGAGATTTTGTCGGGCAGTTTTGGTCCGATTTTCACGATATTTGAACTCAAGCGTGTAGCGTTGATATATATAACGGTTTTTAAAATCAGATAAAATTGTAACCTCTAGAGGGATCACAATCTAAGAATAAGATTCTTCACACAATCAGGGGCCATAATCCAGGAAGTTAGGGTCCAATATGTGCCAATTTCAAAGGGAACCAAGGTTGTTGGGTTATATAAATATTTCAAGTTTCATCAAAATAGGATAAAAATTGTGACCTCTATAGTGTCCATGAGCAGAATATGTGATTTTTCATTCAATTGATGAAGTTACGGTTTGATACATGCCAATATCGTAAGGAACCAAGATCTTTGGGATCTAAACCTATATTTTAAGTTTCGTCAAGATAAGATAAAATTGTGACCTATAGAGTGTCCACTTAAATTATTCAACATTTTGTCAGTAAAAATACTAAATATGCCCGTCTTCATTAGCCCAGTATAGGAGCAGAACAGTAGGATGTTAAACCCCATTTCATTTCATTTTCATTTCATTTCACTAACTATTCTATTATATTCTATACTTCTCTGAAATGCATCATTTTGACTTTGTCAAAATTGATCCCATCAAATTATCTGTAATTGGTCTGTGTTACCTGTTTCTATTGATACGAGGTTTCTCAGAAACAAATTTGGACGGACTGACAGGAGCGACAACAATATACATCCACATGAGAATATGGGCATATAAAAATTGCATACCTTTAAAGTTGCTACATGACAGAAGAATAAAAAAACCCATTTTTCCAGGTATGCAGGCTGCCGACAACCAGTGTTGCAGCGCAATTTGCGACAAATATTTTGTCTGTTGCTAATCAAAAATTAAAATCTGTGATTTTGAATATCGACACAAAAATTTATCCACATTTTAAAGACTAGATGGCTTTCTCAACACTTTGAACGTGTATAGAATGTCAAATAAAATTTTATAAGTGAAACTGAATTCTCCATTTGACATTTTCGTCTCGAACTACCCAAACACAATTCATTATACTATATTATACAGAGACATAAATCTATGAATAGGGACTATTAAACCAGAAATAAGGAATCAAGTTCCACTCATGTTGCAAGACATGTCAATTTCGAGTAATTATATCATCAGCATTCAAATTGAAAAATTGAAAAAATAAATCCTTTACCGGTATCCCCAGCGTATTGTAAATAAAATATATAAAGATAAATATATGTTGTAAAATGAGAAATCAAAGTAAGAATTCACGTCAAATATTATTGTTTATATCGCGTGTGTCTAGTTAATCGACTTTATTCATTATTTTTCCGTGTATGTCTGATTGAACAAAAAATAGTAACACACGAATAAAAATGAAATCTAATCATTTGTTATGATTATAAATTAAAGTAATATCTTGTTATTAAGGTGTTTTATGTTGAAACTGAAAACTGCTAATCAATTTTTGAATTTGCTAATCAAATTTGGCAAAATTGGACATTTTGATTAGCAGTGCTGCTAATTAACTTTGAAAAATTATCGACAGCTCTGCAGGTATGCCATTGGTTTTATATTCCACAATCCGAGATACATGCCTGATAATTTGATTGGTCCATTAGTCCAGGTAATCTGATTGTAAACAAGGAAGAGGAAATATTTCAGATGTCACACAATCAGGTATAAAAAAACAAATTAAAGTGACCTGTAATCAGATTTATTGTATTAAGGTAATTTGATTTGCTAATTAGTCTAATTGGTACAAGTTGGAAAACATGACAGATGTTAACGTGATACAGAACAAATGAAAGTGACATTTGATCTTTTAATTATAATAATTCACTGCCTTCTATAGTCAGTCTGGTAGGAACAAAATTCATAATAGGTGCCTTGATTGGCTGTTTGCCTAGCGAATAAAAATGAGTTTTTTGCGACTTGCCCCCATGAAACTTTTTAAACTAAGGAATAGATCTTTGATAGCGCTATATCTTCCCTCTTACTCAGTAGTGAATCATTCTAAGCGTTACTGGCGTTTCTCTCCTATCCAACCCAAAATTTCCGCCAAGCCAGAAATAACGTGCACTCCGTCGTAATCATACGTCACTTCCCTTTATATAGTTAAATTCTAAAACATTTTTTGAAAGTATTTAGAAAAATTAATAAAGGTGTTTGGAGTATATCTGGATAAAATGTGTAAAATGAATAAAAGCAGGGGCGTAAATGTGTGGGGGTCGGGGGGGGGGGGGGATGTACCAACCCAGGCAAAAAAATAGTTGGTCGCAAAATAAGTGCAGTCGTTCGCAAAATTATGCATCAACGACCAAATGAGTTAATGACATAAACAAACAGTGCCAAAACAGAAGGGAAGAATTCCAAATACTTAAACATACATTATCCAAGAGCTAAATCTGCCTATTGCAGGTCTTTATTTAGGCCTTAAATGTTATATAAACTATTAATTAGACATTTATTAACATTAAAAGACCATAATCAACTCTTGATGCCGTCTAATGTGTCCGATTTTCATTGAATTTGAATCCGATGATTAACCGCAAAAATGGATAATCAAGACTTCGTTAATTATCGTGAAAGCGGTAACAATGACAATCGAGATTACAGTGATTTTAAAATGAGGTTTTCTTGGCTATAAAGAGTGAAGCAATTTGACTGAAATTTTCAGCATATTCTCTTCACGATGTGTAGTGCGATGTTACAGTGCGAACTGCCAGCTCTTAATCTAATCTTCCATAATGTATCTTTCAACTATGTATTTGTGTGAATCAATGCACCTAAATTGCAACGGTATAGTATAAAATAACCTAGTCAACTTCACACGTTTGAAAAAAAAAATTCCCTGTTATGAGTATGTTGGTCTAAGAAATTGAGAGCGCTTGAGCGAAGATTTTGATATTTCAAAATATATTTTTGATTGTCATACGAATAATATTAGTTGAACAGTTGGTAAGAAATTATCGGAAGCATAATTTTATCTTTTGGATTGGTAAGGAGAAGCTGAGTTTGTTTCAGAAATACGTAAAAAAATCTCTAAATTATAAAATGTTAAGGCAATTATTTACTTGTTGCATATCTAATCCCAGTAGAAATTAAAACGCATTTTACTCATGTTATAAGTGTTTTCTGACCAACAGAATTCCGCAAAATCTTCCCCAGGAAATGGCATTTCAGGGAATCTAGACTCTAGCCCATCCCACCTACTACAGACAGCCAGGGAAGGTTAACTAGCTTTTCAGTGATCTGATGTGATCTCTCTGTGAAGTTCTGTCACAAACAAAGCCGTACATTTTGAACAACTTGTGATGGATTAAGTGAATATTTGGGAGTGCCACCATCCATGAGGTCATTAATAGTCTTTAGAATTAAAATAACCATAAGCAATTAAATTGGTGTCCTTGCTTGATTCAGTGATTCTCAACCAGTGTGCCACGAGATCTTCATAAGTGTACTGCGAAATTTTGAACGGCACACTAAGAAAATGCGAAAAACCAAGTGATCCCAACTGAGTATTCACTAGTGTCTAGTGGTACATGTAGGTTCATAGCTGCGTTTTTCTTTGTTTAGTTTGAGTCACTCTATGTGTCTGTGACTAGTCCGAGTCTACGGTTATAAACCGTCTATGACTTGCCATGTTTTTATTTCAAATATTTTCATATATATTCAACCAGGTGTGCCGCTATTTTTTCATATGTTCCAAGGTGTGTCGTTGGCAAGAAAAGGTTAAGAACCACTGGGTTAGAGATTTATAAGTACAAACTTACCGATTCAAAAGAAACCAATTTTCCATTTTTTGATTAGTTGAGGAAGCAGGAGTGTAATTATGAAGTTCCACCATACTTGGAAGATAATATTTTACAATTTCTGCTAGTAAAACTGAAACAATTAATATAAATTATAAGCTTTTAAAGCCTTAAAGATGGGTTCCCGGAAAAGTATTTATCGGGTGGTTATTTCCAATAAAAGTATGGCAATTTTGGTATATATGGAAAGTAGAGATATCCAATCTTACTAGAAAAATACTGGATTCTCCGAAAAACACTTATGGAGCGTATACAGGACAAAAATGTAAGGGTTCCCCTAATCGACAGCCCGACGATTAGGAAATTCTGCACGCTTGATGTCAAAGGTCACACGCAAACATTGAGCGTTTGATGTACAAGTCGATTAACTTTATGAAGAGTTAGACGTATAACACTTTCTGAGATAAAAATGATGGAAAAAGACGTGGGTAGTGGATAATCCGAGAATTTAATTAGGATTCGATATTTGTAATAAATAGTAAGCAATTAAAGACAACATCGTCTTATGTATGCAATGAATTCTCCTCTGACTTCCAAGAGAGGTAAGTCACGTGACGTAAACATGACCTAGTTTGATCGAATTTTTACAGCAGGGCATTCCTTCGCAAGTCTTAGGTTTTGTTGCACATTACACCATTCAGATAGTATTTGTAGTTGCACCGGAGAGCGGCAGTTTCGCTTCCTCACAAAAGATGCTGACAAGTCACAATGTTTGAGAAGGATTTGAAGCAAAATTATGACAAATTAATTAGTTCGAATATGTTTTTAGTCCATATACCATTAAATCACCCAGTTTGTACCCAAGAATGTATCTTTAAGCTTTGATTTTAGTAATAGTAATAGGCCTACACGTTGTGTGATAATTCGTAGTGTACTTGACATATAGTTACTTAAGTAACGTAAATTGTATCGGCTCTGCCTTCTACTACGTTACTGTCAGCTTCTAATAACAACTAGTATGAAAACAAGGATTTTCCCCATCTTGGTTCTAAGGCAATTTTGGAATCCTTACCGTCTATTTTTCACCGTGATTCTTCTTTGGTCGCTAAAAGGAACCATTTCTTGCCACATCCGACACAAATTTATGAAAATCCATCTCTATTTTCATGTAGAACTGTGCAATACAAAAACATAAACAACTTTCATTTGAATTGGGCCGCCAGTTTCAAACATAACGCTCAGCCAATAATCCAAGCTTAGGAATGGAATTATACCGTAAACGAAAATTCGTGCTGTACATGGTCACTAAAGTTTTTTTTATTCAACATACATGAATAATTATTACATAAAATCTATAAAATAGAACAACATATTATATTGACCTTTATAAAATATTTTAAATATTCTATGTGTTATTCTCATGTACAGCGAGAATTTTCGTTTACGGTAAAATTCCATTCCTAAATTTGGAATATTGGCTGAGCGTTAGTTTGAACATGGTGGCCCAATCCAAATGAAAGTTGTTTATGTTTTTGTATCGTGTAATTCTACATGAAAATAGTGTTGGATTTTTATAAATTTGTGTTGGATGTGACAAGAAATGATTCCTTTTGGCGACCAAAGAAGAATCACAGTGAAAAATAGACGGTAAGGATTCCAAAATTGCTTTAGAACCGAGATGGGGAAAAGCCTTATTTTCATACTAGTTGTCATTAGAAGCTGACAGTAACGTAGTAGAAGGCAGAGCCGATACAATTTACGTTACTAAAGTAACTACTTGACATATTAAGTCTGTAGGCCTTTAGCTCCATAGCTAAAAATGTTGAGATATAGCGTGATGTGTTTTGTTTTAGCTACAATTAGATGCCTTTTAGTTTCAACTGACAAACTTAATTTCTTTATTATTGCATGCAACGTCTTAAAAATAAGTTAATTTGATACTAATTTAACATAATCAGCCCAATTTAGTGAAAACTTTCCTTTATCTGCAAATATTGTCAGTAAAGTTAATCAACCGGTGTTTCTAACAGAATTGATAAGGCCATTCTTGCGACCTATAAAGGGTCTACTATTATTCGAGAATTTCCATTGACTGTTTTCACATGACATATCGTTAGCCCTGCCTTCATGACTTTAGACTTTAAAGACCTCTCCTTAAAAGATGTCAGACAAAGCACTTGGATCTGGAACCTGCATTCTGGTTGATGGGAGGGATTAGCCAATGTTGTGAAGACAAGTAAGTAAAATGAAATTTTGAATTATAAATAACGAAACGAAATAGGATCTGTGCTTTTTAATCAGATTGACCCAATTCTAGATAAGAAAACTCATCTCTCACCCCGCCATGTTTCAGGATAAGAGATGGTGCTAATAGGACCGTGCTATAAAGTTTTACTTTGCAAATCCCGACGTAATAACATATTTCATCATAATCTAAATATAGGGTAACACACAAATTTATGTAACTCGGCCATATAAGACAAAACGACATTTAGGTAAGCAGGTGAAACAAAATTGGAATTTTTGAAAAAATTTGATTAATTGGCTAGGCAAAGCTATATAAATGACTGACGATTCTCAACATTTCAAAGATACAAATTCCCCCCCCCCACCCCCGCTTACTATAACTTTTGTTTCGTAGTTACAGGGGTATGTAAATTTGTGTGTTACCCTAATGGCTTCTACCAAGCTGTTGAGCAGAAGACTGCAGAGGACATATTTTTTTTAGCAAGGTCTTATTTTCTCACTAAAAATAAAATGTTCCATTACATTGTAGGGGCATTCACAGTAAAAAGTTGGACAGTGGTTCCTGAACATACAGGGCGAGTGTAATATTATGAGACCTACGTTCAGAGCTGAACTAGGCCTAGCCCAATTCATGCAAGCACGTAAACCTGACAGAGACGCATGGTCGTGATTTTAACAGCAGTAACCTTTGAACTTTAGCATAATTGGCTAATTTAATTGTTAGTAATGTTAGTACAATAGTAGTGACATAATAGTTTCTAGGCCTAATTCTTAGACTAAGACAAGACTAAGAGTAAGAGATGAATAACCATTGGTCATCATGGATATTTTATTGAATGAATGAATTGACATGTAAATCTATCATCCTAGCAATTAGTATCAAATTTATTTACTGGCATCAGAGAAATCTTTTCCTATGTTTTTCTTCTGTCTCGATAGAGGAATTGTGTCAATCCATTGATACAAATTCTCCAATTCCACATCATCGTAATAATCTTCCATCTCCATTCGAGTGTAGCCATCCGCAGTTTTTCTGGCGGAGACGTATTCAGTCATTATTGAACAATTATCCCCCTTTTTTTCTACATAATTTAAACTTAGGTTATAATTTCTGTTTAAGGGGATGTTTGAACAATCAGTAATTAATTCATTGTTTCCTCTAATTAACGGAAAAAAACTAATTTACTGTTTAACTTCCCTTTCTCGCTCAGAAGTCGGCCATTACGGCGACCGTAGTTACCGTAGACTCGAACGTCCGGCAATCATGCATTCTGTACTATTCGTTTTTTTCTCCATTGACCAAGAAAAGAGATATAATGTTCCAAGGAAGATACAAACATGTCGCATGGTTAGTAAAATGAAATGAAATGGGGTTTAACTCCTCACTGTTCTGTACACGGCATCTTGGTTTTCCGTCCCATGGCTGTCCCTTGCCAGCCCCCCCCCCCATGGTACCACTGACAAGAGGGAACTCTGATTAGTAACATTATTGGACATAAACATAATATATTTCTTTATCTCACTCTCAGATTCGAATCATGTTTATAATCCATTAAAAATTGTTCCTCTGCTGATGCTGAAGTTTTCCATCGTGCCTCCAGCCGAGGAGGGAAAGCAATTTGTTTCACTGAATGAAATGGGGTTTAACGTCCTACTGTTCTGCTCCTATCCCACATAACAATATGATGTTAAATTTACGTTACATTTACGTAAAAATGGTCAGTCAGTTTACCATCATTTTGCTCATCTTTTTAACGATAATTTTACGTCAGGAAATGACGTTAATCTGACGTAAAGTTTACGTCATTTTTACGTTACATTTACGTCATTTTCTGACGTAAATCCAACGTAAAGTTTACGTCATTTTCTGACGTAAATCTAACGTAAATTTTGCGTAAAGTTTACGTCACTTATGTTAGATTTACGCCAGAAAATGACGTAAACTTTACGTTACATTTACGTCTGAAAATGACGTAAATATGACGTAAAAATGACGTAAACTCTACATTAGATTAACGTCATTTCCTGACGTTAAATTTTCGTTAAAAGGATGAGCAAAATGATGGAAATCTAACCGACCATTTTAACGTAAATCTAACATTAAATAAACATCATTTTCGGATGCAATTCTAATGTCAAATGAGCAATTAAAACCTTTAATATAATCTATTATTGGTGGTTGTAATTGTAAAATTCAGTCAACCAATAACCAAATCTTCTTTAACCATATGAAGTGCTCCTGGCGCAAACAATTATTGAACTGAAACTGAATCGTAGGCCCCATTTCTCTCTATAGGTATGTATTTCGGTGGTCAAACGGTTAACGCATGTTCGTTGCATCATAAGTTCCGTCATTAAATTGAGAGAGAGAGAGAGAAATCGGGTTTAACGTCCACTCAACACAAACTAGGTCATTTTGGGACTAACTTATGGTTTAATTTTATTTCAATAATTCGCATGCGCTTAGGGGTCTTTAGCAGTGGGTGGAAACCGGAGGACCCGGAGAAAACCCACGAGGTTGGACAGGCGACCCTACTCCTTGTCACATACAACCGGGGATTCGAAACCACGCCAGTTGACTCAATGACAGACTTTATAATACAGCGCGCACACGCTAACCATTCAGCCCCCCCCCCCCCATTGAATTAAGTAGCGTGGTTTCGATTCCCCACTTGTACATGACAAGTACTAGTAGGGTAGCCTGTTCAATCTCATTGGTTTTCTCCAGGTCATCCGTTTTTCTCACACTGCTAAAGATCCCTACGTGCAAATGAATTATTGAAATAAAACTAAACCACATGTTAGTCTCAAAATGACCTAGTGTGATTCGAGTGGAAGTTAATCCCCATTTCTCTCTATACATGTATTTTTCAATAACCATTCAGAATTCTAAATTTAATTGCAACCAAACGCCAAAAAACCAGCACAACTTACATAATTATTCAACAAAATATACTACAAGTATCTATACTTTATTCAAAAAATACATATATAATGTAATAAAATACAAAAATAGACATTTAAATTGCAGTAACAGTTTATCCACAGCATTAAGTTGGTGACAATTTAGGAAACGGTCTTCGAGAAAAACTTTGAAAATGTGGAAATACGCCAACACATTCAGCAGTATATCAGAAAGGAAAACTGTGACGTTGACCAAATTTGATATAAAAAAAACAAAACCCAACGGCCTCTATCACGTTTGCTAAAGGTTTTCGAACTAGGTGGGATAATACTGGAAAGGAAATTTGTGGAATACTGAATATCTATGCTTCACACCAACTTTGAAAAGCGAATAAATTATAGGGCAGTGTTCACAGGTTTTGCAGCCAATCGGGGGGGGGGGGGCAAAATTTGAAAAAGATACATTAACGATACATTCTGTAAGATTTAGATAAAGAGCTGACCATTCTTGCTATGATAGTTCAAAAATAAATAATATATAATGAAAATTTCATTCAAATTACTTCATTCTGAGCCAAGTTATCACAGTTTGTAGTTTCGACATGATGTGTGCATTGTGGTAATGAGGGCACAGGTATATTCGAGACGTGGCCTCACTTTCCCATTTTTAATTAAATTTTTAAATGGCAGGCCGTTCTAATCTAGTTAAAATCTTGAGTATCCAATGCCTTCATATTGCATACTTTTACACAATTTGCGTACAAAGAGCGGGCATTTTGTCAGGCAGTTTCATTTCGATTTTCCCGAAATTCGAATTCAACCTTCATTATGCGATTTTTCAAACAATCAGGAGCCATAATCGAGGAAGTTACTTTGGATATGCGCGATTATGAAAAGGAACCAAGATCTTAGTGTGTAATGGTTATATATACACATGGTTTTTTTTTAAATCGGATAAAAATTGTGATCTCTACCTACAGGGACCACATGCTAAAAACGGATGGACGTCTGGACGGACAGGGGCTACGACAATATACGTCCACATGAAAATGTGGGCGTATAAAAATTGTGACCTCTATAGGGACCACAAGCTAAAAACGGATGGACGTCCAGACAGGGGCTACGACAATAAACGTCCACATGAAAATGTGGGCGTATTAAAATTGTGACCTCTATAGGGTCCACAAGCTAAAAACGTGATTTTTCATACCATCAGGGGCCATAATCCATGAAGTTTCGGTTCTATACATGCCAATATCAAAAGCACAACCGTGATATACCAGATGTTATACACTATTTGCATACGAGGGTCGGCCATTTTGTCCGACAATTTTGGCAATAAACATTACGGTGTAACGGTGATATATTCGAATGTTGTTTTTAAATCGGATAATAATTGTGACCTCTAGTTTGGGTTATAAACATGCATTCAAGTTTCATCAAATTCAGATCAAAATTGTGACCTCGACAGGATATACCAGATGTTTAGACTAATTGTGTATGAGATTCGGCCATTTTGTCCGGCAATTTTCGTCCAATTTTCTCAAAAATCCAAATTAAAAACTATTACGCTGTAACGGTGATATATTTGAACTTTTTTCTTTAAATCAGATAATAATTGTGACCTCTCGAGGGACCTCAAGCTAAATACGTGATTTTTCATACAATCAGGGGCCATAAATCAGGAAATTACGATCCGATATGTGAAAATATTGACAGGAACCAAGATCTTTGGGCTATAAACTTACATTTCAAGTTTCATCAAAATCAGAAGAAAATATTTTGACCTCTAGATATACCTTGATATACCATATTTTTACACTATTTGAGTACGAGTGGTGGCCAAATTCGATCTCAACCATCCTTAGGGTGTAACGGTGATATATTCACAAGTTTATTTAATTCAGATAAAATTATAACCCCTATAGTGTCCACAAGCTAAAAACGCAATTTTTCGTACAATCAAGGGCCATAATTCAGGAAGTTACGGTCCGATATGCGAGAATATCGACAGGAACTGAGATCTTTGGGTTATAAACTTACATTTCAAGTTCAACAAAATTAGATCAAAATTGTGACCTCTATAGGGTCCACAAGCTAAAAACACGATTTTTCGTACAGTCAGGGACCATGCCAATATCGAAAGATGGGCTAATGAAGACGGGCGCCATACGCCATACTAAGTCTTGTGCTATGAGGGAAATTTTGCCCGGGCAGCGACACTATCGCCTACTCTTATATCGAATTCCAACTGTTAGGGGATCTAGTACAAGCATTCCAATATTTACACGGGACCTCGGTTTTTCGTCTAACCCAAAGGACTAGACAGCTGAATTTGTTTCACAGAGGATTGCGAAAGTCTTATAATACCTTATATAGATGCCCGCTCTCAACACGTAACTTCACATCACGCGGTGTCAGTTATCGGCTCAATGGCGCGTGCCTCTTACTCATTGTATATACCCATATACCCATTTACACTAAATAGGACATATTTTTTACCTACATACAGGACCGTAACTAGCTCAGAGCAACGTGTAGGGCGGGAATTGTTCTCGGGGGTGCTGTAAAATTGACGGACAATGTATATCTATGGTCGACAATTTTTTCACGGGGTGGGGGGGGGGGCCTTTGCATGGGGGGGGGGGGCTTTGCTAATGAGGCAGATGCTTAATGCGCTTAATATTTTGATGGGTACGCGGGTGTATGTCCTATCAGGGGACCCTGTGGCAAAATAGCTCCCTTAAAGGGCCAATCCCGATAATATTTTGGAGAATAACACTGCTTAATTTTGTGTTAAAATCCTCTACATTAGGGCCGAGCAACTAACTCAATATAATATGTGATACGTTTTCAAACAGAAAACCGGTGTCCCAAGCTGTATTATGTGGTGTCTGGATAAAACTAGACTTTTATTTTATAAATATAATGCTGTCCAACCTCGTGGGTTTTCTCCGGGTCCTCCGGTTTCCTCCCACTGCTAAAGACCTCTACGCGCAAGCTAATTATGTAAATAAAATTAAACCATATGTTAGTCCCGAAATGACCGAGTTTGTGTCGAGTGGACGTTAAACCCCATTTTTCTCTCTCTCTCTCTATAAATATAATGTGTCGGTGAAATTTACCTTTCGTTATCAAGTATAGCACATGGGTCGTTCACTTGATAAACTTCAAAAGGAACGGGAATCGATTATAAGGTCACCCATCGAAAAAATTGACCCAAAATCTTAAAAGGGTTACGTGCCCGGATAAGCAGTTTTGATGTTCATGTCCAAACGACTCAATGTTTTGATCTAAAATTTTGAGACGG